GATCCAAGTTTGGAACCAATTTTCGATTTCTGCGAAAGAAGTGAACCGGTGACCTGCCAAATTGTGCTGTATCTTTCGGAACAGCCAGTAATTAGAAGGAGCAATGTCCAGAGAATACAGCGGGTGCGGTAAAACATCCCATTTGAGCGTTTCCAAATATTTTTTTACGACTTTTGTGACATGAGGCCGAGCGTTGTCATGAAGAAGAATAACTTTATCATGTCTTTGCTCGTATTCCGGCCGTTTTTCTCGCAATTCACGGCTCAAACAAACCAATTGAAGCCGATACCGATCGCCCGTAATGGAATCGCCAGATTTCAGCAGCTCATAGTAAACAACACCCTTTTGGTCCACCAGATACAGAGCATGATCTTCGAACCATGAATGTTCGGCTTTGGTGTTGATGTTGAGGTCGATGGCAACGATTGACCGGGCTTAGCGTAGTATTTTTTCCTCTTGGGGTTGTCGTAGAATATCCACTTTTCCTCTCCAGTCACAATCCGATGCAAAAAACCTTTTCTTTGTTGCCTTTAAATCAGCAGCTCGCAAGTGAAAAATCGCCTTTTAACGTCTCTCGGTTTGAGTTTATAAGGCACCCAATTTCCTTGTTTTTGTATGATTCCCATGGCTCTCAATCGTACAGAAACGGCTTGTTGAGTTACTCCCAATGATCCTGCAAGCTCCTCTTGCGTTTGACTCTGATCTTCTTCGAGTATGCCTCTAATTCTTTGTCTTCGAATTTTTTTGGTTGTCCAGAGCGAGGCTTGTCTTCAACGCTGAAATCTCCATCCTTGAAACGTCGAAACCATTCCCTACATGATTTATCAGTTGGAGCAGTGTCACCATAAACTTCGACAAGCATTCGATGGGCTTCAGCTGCACTTTTCTTCCAATTAAAGCAAGAAAATTAAAACCTCCCGCAAATGCTGCTTGGTTAGCACAAAATTCGACATTTCGAACACAGTAAAAATCAAGGTTTTTGTATGAAACTCAAAGCGATATAAACTGAATATTATTAGCAGATGTCTAACCTCTCTGAAACCGCCAAAATCTGCTGTCACTATGAACCATTCACAACAGCCAAAGCTATCTTTTGAAAACGGACCGAACTAATTTGTACTCCTAATAACTTCTTTCATCATTAATTATCTTCCATGTAGGCATTCCTATTCTATAACATTTTGATTTAAAATTGCCTATTATTGTAATTAAATTTCTTATTTTAGATAATTTAGAACTTTTGTGTACATCAAATTGTCGAGAATTTTATATCGACATTAAAAATGTCTTTTGTGAGATTAAAATTACAAATATAAAATAAGAATCGTCGAGATAATATTATATCTATAGTACAAATAGTACCATTTAAAAAAATGCAACAATTATCGTTCTTGTGTGAACTAAATTTTAAATTTAAACGGTATCGAATTTTTAAACAAATTTTTTATTTACAATTAGAGATATTTTTTGAAACGAGTCCACATTACAGTGCATTTTGTTGACGGTGACGCTCCGAATTCAGAAGTATTCATTATTTTTTAGAAATTTTATTTTTTGCTGACGCTCTTCGGTACTATTTGTTGCAATTACTGATTAGGTTTCCGAGTATTTTAGTAAAAATTATATTGTCATATTGTATGTAGGATTTTATTGCAAGTTCGGAAAAATGTACTATTTTTCAGATGAATTATTACATAGACATCTTATAATTGCATGTAACAATAAAATATGATTATAAGCATTTTACCCGACAATACTAAATAACACAACACCTATATAAATAAAAAACTGACAACATTATGTTGCTTTAAAATTTCTGTATTCTGAAATTAATCTGGGCTTGCAATTGAATTCCTGAGGATAATAAAAAAAAAATATTCAATCTGTTCGATATCAATTTGATGTTTCGATAACTTTGTTTCTTTTCCGTATTTACCAGTGATAAAGACATTTAATGTTTTTACTATACCAAAGGGCATATGCTTAAATGGAGCTTGTGTTACAATATCTTGAAAAAGAAAAGTTGTAGGTGTATCACCTGCTTTATGATAATCTTCATCGCTTTGTTTCCGATATTCCTTATCAAAACACATCTCATTACTCGACGAAAAAATGACCTTTATCACATAGAACGCTAATGATCTTATATTTTGAATACGGATTATGTGACATATGCCCGTAATGATTTAGTACAAATGCTCGTGCAGAAGCATCTGCTATAAATGCCCGAAATTCAAGTGAAATAACTTTTTTGTTAAAAAAAATTCCTCCGTTCAAAGTTTTTTGCATTCAGCTAAAAATTCTGAAAAAAAATCCATTGCATTTTTGGGTTTTTTATTACCGCCTATAATATAATCTAATTGTTTCAGATCTCTAGCGACAAATTTATTCAATAAAAATTGCTTGATTCTTTATTTAAATTTTTGCTGTACCAAAAATTGCTATTTTAAATGTGTCTTATTTCGTGTTATAATATTTCAAAATTATAATTTAGGAATATATGCATATTTTTTGAGCATATATATTAATTAATTCTTTTCTTTTTTTCCAATTATATTCTTAAATAATATAAATAATATTCTTAAAAATAATAAAACAAGCAAATATATTTCTCAATTATTATGTTTTTTTTTATTTTTTTTTTGCACATATAACAATTTTTATTTTTTAATTTAATTTAATTTTACAAATTATTTCGCTAATTGTAAGATAATTCGCGGCTATTTTGCTAAAATATTATTTAGAAATAAATTACGTATTTATTAATATTTTATAAAAAATAAAAATTTTTACATATATATCTTTTTCAATCTAGTGATATAATTGTAACATTACACATTTCATTCAGATTTCATCGTATAATTTTATAAATATTTTCCTATCGGGGCATGTTATTAATCTTTTAATTTTGAACATTTTCCTTAACAACATAGCCACCCGACATATTTTATTTTGCACTTGTATTTTGTCGGATTGTAATGTAGCGTCTATTTTGCGAAATTTTTACTAAGTGTCGAATTGCAAACATATACTATTTTGTCGAAGTGCAATGTGTAACGCTTCATTTATTATCTTGTATATCGCCGAGAATGGTCTGATATCAGACCAAAACGTTTGAATTAATTTTATAATAAATGATTGTTTTTTGGCACACGAAGATCTGTGGCTCTAAGCTCTTTAATATTTCCTTTAATTTTTAAATCGAACGAGTCTTTCTTTATTTACTTTTCTTTTCTTTTTTATATATAAAATTACTTTTGCGATTATATCATTAATAATGGTCTTTGCATACTCCATAATTCCGAACTATTATCTCTATCTCTCATCTCTGTGAATTAAAAAGCGGTTCTCTCTAGATAAATACATAGGATCCAAATCTCGTCTCGTGTCAATTCCCATCTCCCGGATAACTCGACGCTGTCTGCTTTCGGGTTTAGTGATCTCGTATCTGCGGGATCTCGTGCACACGTGCGACGCACCTTACCCATTTTGCGACAGGGCGATCATCCCCAACTTACAGCACGCGTCGCTCTTCGTCACCCCATGTCGAACTGCGGGGCGTCAACTCACGCACACCCACGCATCGAAGGGAAGATAACTGTCGCGCGCGCTCGTGGGGTCACTCAACACGACGGCGGTGGCGACGACGACGACGCGAACGACGATGAGATCGCACACAATCCGCCACTCCTTCCGCGCTTCCCCTTCCTCTCGGCCACACTCACGACGTCGATGTGTAACAACCCTTACCGACACGGATGGCTCCCTCTGTTGGGGTTACACAATCGCGCCCTGATTGATAATTTATACGGTGCGTGCAGGTTATTTGATTATCCGCCTCCAACTGGCTCCAGGCGGCTCGGCTTCGCACACGGGGCGCCCCGTCGCCGCCGCCGCCGCCGCCGCCGCCTCCATCTCTTTTAACGCTTTTCTCTCTCTCGTCATCACTCTGTTTTTTGTGCTCGGTGCTTTCTCTCCGCCAAGTTGTGTGTCCTCGCATTCTTTTCTCCTTCCGATGATTTAAGATCGAAACATAAAAACAAAAGCACACCGATCGAAACCGGTATATAATCTCTGCGAGTTTCACGATACACAACTTTGTGTTAAATTTATCGCTGTGTTTTCATTTCATAACACGGATAAATTTATGTTAAACATTCAATTCGAATGTTACAAAGTGGCGCGCAAGATGCATCATTTTACGAGACGATAAAGTGAATTTATTCGATTTATTGCAGATACGCAACGAGCGTATGGATGAAATCGACATCTACTATACATGTTGGGGGGGGGGGAGGGTTTGTGTTGTTGTCAAGTATGCGCCGGGTGCAAGGGTAAATATGGACAATTACATATTTTCCCTTCTGATCTCTTGAGATCGCGGCCAGCGGACCCCAGCGAGAGGGAATCGCGTGACGTAGTATTATTATCGCGTACGAAGCCGCTCCTTCTTTATAGGGTGGTTACGCAAGCGGGGGTTGACATGCGGGCAAAGTGACTGTGCTGTGACAGAATCAGTCGACAAGGGGGGAAACGCATAGTACGTTGATGGCATAATTGGTATCATTCGAGGGTCTTCTTTTGAGGTGACCCATCGTGCACAGCCCTATTACATGCACACAATTATGCGCATCTCGTTTTATGCGGTTTTTCATTCTCGATCAAACAGAACGATGCCGATCAAAAAAATTGCAGATTGATTAAATTTTTTTGCTTTATTTTTTCCAATTTTACTGAATATTTCTTTAATCGTCAATGTAAAAATACTCGATTGTTCTGATTTTTTTGGAATAACTTTTTTGGAAAAATTTTGTATAAAATGAAAAAAATTGTTGCAAAATATATTTTTATTGTGTACGAGTAAAGGATTTTGTGAAAAACTGGTTTTATTGACGTAAAGTTATTTCAAAGGAAACGAGCCTTGCTTGAGAATATTTTAATATAAGATATTATCTTATGTTACTCGCATTACATTTTACTTTAGAATATTTCGCAGATCTTTATTTAATGTTTATTTTTTTGTTCCGTTTCGCGTATATTCTCTTCGTTGTATTTAAGCTCTTTGGATTCAAATCCTTCAAATTGGAGGAAGTCAATCTTGGTTTATCGGCACCGAATAATCCTGTTCTGAAACGAATGTTCTGCTTTATGTCGCTGCGATTTGCGGTTGCGCAATCGTCCTCAGCTGCCTCGCGCACTTCATTATCTTCTACTCTCTTCGAGTGATCTTTTGAATTCTTAACCTCAATGTTAATTTTTTGTAGCTTTTGGCTAATCTTCTCATTTATTATGTTACTCTCAAGACGTAATGCAGCGGGTTCTTTCGTTCTCAAACGTTTCCACGTTCGTATGGGTAATCTGGATAAGTTCCTCTTCTTTTCTTTTTCTACTTTTGTACGCAGTGGAGTACCTGTCATTCTCAAAGAAAATATCCTCTCGGTTTTTCCCACTTCCTCTTCGAGTGTTGATCGCGAAATAGACACATTCCTCCGATCGATTTTACTACTCCCCAAATTTCCACGATGAAGAGTCGTGTTATTTCTTTCGTTTGCTTTGTACGCTCGCTCGTCGCTTTTCGAGTCTGCGATGCGCTTAAACGTTTTTGCCGATCGTACCATTTCATTAGAAAATTTGTTGGAAAGCTTATTGACGAATTTGTTGCGATACCGACGATCGTCAGCACTTGTTCGAGCAGAAATAGCATTCACAGTTTCTTTTTTGTGCACAACTGTTGAGGAGCTAATGTTCTTTTTTCGTTCAATCGCTGAACGTGGCTTTGCCTTGCTTAAATCTATAAAAGAAGATGAAATATTATTTACAGAAGATGATGGAATGAATCAGTAAAATACATTTATTCGTGTCTTTTGACTAAAGTTAAAATTAAAAGTGATAAGAATATTAACTAAGAAATATTAACAGATAAATAGAAAGCGTTCTTCTAAAAGCACACCTCGTGTCTATATTATTTTTAAAATATAAAAGTTTAATACATTTTCTAAATATATTCTTTTCTTATTATTTCTCTTCTCTAATTAGACCTTAATATACATATAAAAACTAGCCTGATAATAAAAAATTGTAAGAATAAGAAAACATGCAACGTTTGTGAAACACATAAATTTGAATTGGAATATCGTTATTATAAAGACATCTGCTAGCGCTTCTTCAAACTTTATTAAATGTTCACAACGGAGTCGGCATAAAAGAGATCTTTACATTTTATAACACTTACGTTTTTTCGCGGAACTCGTGTTCGAGATTTGTTCATCGATAAATGTTTTTACAGGTCGAACTTGTGGAGAATTCGTGTTTTGCATATTCAATTGCAAAACTTTGGGCGTCTCTGTCATTGCATCACTTTTTCTACTTTGATATCTCGCGCTTCCAGTCCAAGTTTTTGGCGAGAAATTTTCTTGGCTGTTATTCTGCTGCATATTCTCGGATTCTTCTTTCTCAAAATCGACAATATCACGTTTTTGCTGCGTATTAAAATTATGTAATCTTTTTCTTTGCGGCATTATTCTTTGCGAACCACTGTGGTTCTTTACACTATCCGGATCTGAAAACGTTAATTCCTCACGATTTTCTTCGTTTTCCAATGGTACAAAGTCCCAGAAATCATTCTTCGGAAGCACGTTGGAATCAACAGCATCGGAAAAAATATCTTGGTGTTCCATATTACGAGTCTTTCTAAATTCTGTACAAGATTAACGTATAAAATAGATTAATAAAAGCGTAGAGAAGAAATTTTTAAAAATTTATTCATTAACATTAACAAGATCTAATTTTCCAAATCTATGATTATTAAGGTTTAAAGTTTAAGTATTAAAGTTTCATATATTTTATAAAAATAACTCACCCGCCTCATAATCATAAATTTCATCCGTTTTCGAGAGAATCTTTGTTTGTCTCGGTTGAACGTCAACAGTGTGAATTTCATGAAGATTCCTCTCATCTTTATCAGTATATCTTTGTGAAAAAGTGTTTTCTCCTTGATGTGCGCGATTGCTTCGCGCAAATGGCGATTCGAAATCTCTTGAATAATCATACTGTGCAAAACGTTCTTTCCGAGAATGTCCAATTGTATTTTGAGAAGCAACGTATTGGGTGTAGTAGTCGTCTTTGTATTTAGTGGCGAAAGCGGATTTGGAGAGATCTAAATTCTTATAAGGTTCCTCCGAATCGTAATCTATATCGATGTATACGTCGACATAATTGTGATTATTTCGCAACGCTTTTCCTCCGCTATAATTCCCATTTCGAATCTATAATCAATCGAGAGATATATTTCAAATATCAAATTAAATGGTACAATTAACTTTTACACTTTTAATTGACCTTTGTGTTTACTTGCCTTATAATTGTTTAAAGTTGTGCGAGCGAAATTTTTTGATCTCTCGTTGTGCCATTTAGCGTTTCTACGAATCGATCTAAAATTTTCGACTCCTCTACAATGCCGTTTGTACGAACCGCGTGGAAAATGTACAGGAAAGGTGGTCTCCGTGTCGCATTCGGCATCCATCAATTCCACGATCTTGTCTGAATGACCGTATTCAAGAGGTCGGAAGATTGGCAGAATCGGTTTTGCGTCGTCGACAAAAAAGAACATTGGATTTTCAAGGAACGCACCCATGCTTAGCCGCGTACGCATTTACACGATATATTGCGTAAAATGTAAATATTGTAAAATCTGTGAATAAAACGTAAATATGAATAAAAATATATACTCTCACAAAATTGAATATTTTCGAAGCGCAACACAATTTGCAATTAATATTTTATTAATGTGCAGAATTGCTATTAACATATTTTTTTTATTTTACCTATTTCTAGCAAATTTTAAACGGCAAAATGGTAGATACGCTTTGTGTGTGTGTGTGCGGCGACAATGGCATATTTCTCATTGAATTACTTTTGTGAGCCATTATGAGGTACACGAATTTTCATACTTTACATAAAAGATTTTGATTTTGACATTTTTTGCTCATCTGAGCGAGAGATCTAAGTGAAGTAAAATCAAGTGAATCAACCGATTCGAGATATTGAAGCAATATCCGAGATGACGAAAAAATCCAAAATCTTCCATAAAGTTTAATAATATTTCTTAAGTTAATATTTCTGCTTTTGAATTTTTATTATTATAATTGCACAAAAACAAGATAAAAATCAATAGAAATAGCAATTCCTATTTCCTTCAGTTATTTATTATAATATCTCTGATTAACAAATTGTTGATGTTGTACTGACATAGATCGTAACATTGATTTTTTTGGTCTTGAATTGATATTATGATACTTAACTTGTAATTTAAAATAGGAAATATCTCATAAGATTTTCATTCATTTTTTGGGCAATCTTGCCTTTAAAATATTCACAACTATTTTAAAAGTATTAACTTTTTATCAGTAGAAATAAAAGATGGTTGTAAATAGCAGCAGAACCAAACAAATATAAAAAGTATTTTGATAAGACAATTATAATTGATATATACATATATTTTTTGTATAATACACACATTGTATTAGCTAATTTAATTAAATACACCATTTATTTTATTCTAAGATATAGTTTTCTTAATTTGACACACAAACACATGCACACACACACATATATGGTGTCCCAAAAGTCCCGCAACGAGCAAATATCTCGAAAATAAAGCATTTTTGAAAAAAATGTTTCAAATAAAAGTTATAAGATTTTAAAACAATCTTGGAGTCGTCTATTTTACCGATTTCTTTTAAATAGATTTTTTTGGCTTTGTAAAATAAAAAATTTTTTTCTGTTATTAAAGTACGAAAAATAGAAGGTAACAGGTACCGATCTATTTTACCTTCTATTTTTCGAAGAATAAAAAATCCTTTCAAATCGACCGTCCGTACTGTATTAATATATGTACTTTAATTACAAAAAAGGATTTTTTCATTTTACACAGCCAAAAAAAAGTAAAATATATTTTAAAGAAATTGGTAAAACAGCCCTGGTGAAAAAACATCTCATAATTTCCTAGAAAATTTTAAGAATTTTTTATAATTTTATTTTATGAAAAATTCTGAGAAAAAATTTCTTATTTATTCATATTTTTAAAACATTTTTTAGAAAATTATTTAAAAAAAAAAAAAT